TTGAGCTATAGGTGCCGAGCCAAATCTTCTAATTCTTCTTGCTATTTTAAAATGCTTTCTGCTCTCTCAACTGGAACCCTGCCCTCTACTGCTGCCTGAAGATAGGGAAGGAGGTGAGGGGGCAGGAGTGGGGAGTGAGGGCACCGCAACTGCAGAAAACACATTTCACACAGAACTACACGAGTCAACTCCAATTCGACAACTTTCTTCTTAGTAACGAGTTTTGCCTATAGGTACAGCAAAGTGATTCTGGGTCAGAGAGTCTGCAGGGAAGCCCCAGCACTGGCTATTTACCTGCTGAGGATGATAATATGATTTAAAACCATGCGGTTAGCCTCTAACGCACTACACAAAGGCAACATGCTTAGTATTTCCACCCACAATAATTTTCTCTAGGAAACGTTTTACCAGATCTTGTCCACATGTTAGACGTTCTCTATAATAAAAGAACCTAATATAACCCTTCTCTTTGGGCTTGAAGATGGAAAATACAGAAGATCCAGAAGGTTCTTCTCCCCTCCATTTCCCATTCCTGCCCCCCATTTGCTCATTTAGGTGCAAAAATGAAAAACAAAACAGCAATCAACCCCCAACTTCCACTTTCTGACCTAACCTAGCTATACAAAGAAGAGAAAACAAACAGGAAAACAATCCCCAAATCCTCTCGGGTCATCTCAAACAACAAAACCGAGAAAATAATTTCGGGCTGATTTTTTAAAAACCAAATACATACTACTAGCACTGCCACTGAAGCCTATTAGCATATTTTAAATTGGCATCCTAATTATAGTATTACTGTGAAAGATGATAATTAGCAAAAATGAATCCTTATCTTTGAACAGAGAGGTAATAATGGGAAACTGATGAAGAAAATACAAAAGTCATTTACTTTTGATTACTAATGACTAATGGAAATAGAACTGTTGTTAGAATAGATGGCTATCTTGATTAACTCTTTTAGTCCTTTATAACTTCCCTGCCTACATTCAGAGAAGCTTTTTCTAGCTTATATCAAGGCAAATCATTACCTCTCCTTAATGCACAACTTTGATGGAACAGGAGGAAGATTTGCAAGATGTATTAATGCTTAAAAAAACTTTTCTTCCGACAAACTGCAGGACACTTTTTCATCAGTGATAAGAAAGAGAATTTAACCTAAATAGTGAGTTTTGACCCAACAGAATTTTTTTTTTTTTTTGAAAGAGTCTCGCTCTATCATCCCAGGGAGAACACCATGGCAGAGTTCAGAGCAATCTCAAACTCCTACACTCAAGTGATCTTTTGCCTCAGCTTTTGAGTAGCTGGGACTACAGGTGCCAGACATGCCTGGCTAATTTTTTCCACTTTTAGTAGAGATGGGGTCTCACTATTACTCAGGCAGGCCAACAGAATTTTGTGACATGGAGATGTCTTTCTTTTTAGCAGCCTGTTGCTTCCTGACACTTTTGGAAATTGGTCATGATGACTTACAAGGGCTAATGGCAGCATGATCTATGCCATGGGAAAATTCAGGCCACACCACGTGGAAACGTTTGGCTCTTACCTTTGTTAGTATTCCGTCTTCTCGGTGATTCTTCTGTAGGACGTGTTGAAGGGCTAGCTGAATTTTCTGTTGCAGTTTTTCAATTTTTACCTTTTCCTGCAGCCATGAGCGATCTAAACATGAAAAATGGTCTTCCTTAGTATTCCTCCCCCACGGTGTCAGAACACCCCATTCTCCCTGTCCTTAGGTGCAGATTATCAGACCACAAAGCATATCTGTCTGTTTATTTATTTACTTTTTATTAAGTCATAAACACATATGTCATGTATACATTGATGCCTTTATTGGGTACAATGTGCTGATTTAGAGACTCGGAGGCTAGTTTCACTCTTTCTAAATTTGCTCTT